TATGACGAGGATAAAAGCCACAAAGGGCCTTAAAGTTATCTGTAAAATCTTACATACCTGGAGCCAGTTCAAAGAGGCTGAAACAGGAGGGATGTGTTTCTTAGTTCTGGTTAAAATTCTAAATTGTGACACAGTCTGAGCAGCTTTACACACATTCGCCATTTTCAAAATTAATTTCTAGTTTATGTATAATCACAGTCTTTAAACCCAAAAAGCCCAGAAACTAGTAACTCTGTATTGTCTGTGTGGAACTCTGTTTTATCCTTTAATTCCTGCAGACTGAGCTCAGCAGTAGCAGAACACCGGCGGTCAGTGCGTCCGTCCCGTCGGACTCAGGGCTCCAGAAACCCTCTGAGGGCTCTGGCAGCCAGAGAGGACATCAGGCAGGACTACATGGGAGAAAGAGTCAACACAGCTGCCGAGGAAAGGGTCCAAGCAGAGAACAGTGAGTTGATTTCTCAGTTTCCTTCTTTTCCTTTCCACGTTCCAGCTGCCTCACCTTGTGTTTCCTCCCTGCAGAGCGTAAGAACTCCTCTGCTGCAGATTCAGACTTCACCTCGTCCCCAGACCAGGCGACCAAATCACATCCTCCCTTCAGCAGCCTGATGCTCGTTCACATCAAAGGTCAGGACAGATTTGTGCATGTGTGTGATGGTGTGTTTGCGTTCAGGTGTTTCCATTAACCAGTGCCTATGATACCAGGTAGGCGGCGTGTCCAGGCCCGTCTGGTGGAGCCCTCGGCCCGGTCGCTGAACAGCGGAGACTGCTTCCTGCTGGTCACTGCAGAGCACTGCATCCTGTGGAGCGGAGAGTTTGCCAACGAGCTGGAAAAAGCCAAGGTACCAAAGAGGAGAACAACATGCTGTTGTTTTCTTATTATAGTTGCCCATCGATGGGCAACTGTGGAGTAATCGTGTCTGTGTGTGTGCGTGGTTTATTTGTTTTTTTTTTTTTTGCCTGTTAACAGTCCAGCGTTTTACAGAAGAGGAGTTTGAACCTGAAGCTTCATATGTGACCTCAGTATGGTCCCTTCTCGGAGTGATTAGATTTTGGGGTCAATACATGCATTGGTGACACTACAGAGGTCAAAGGTCACATTTCCCAAAAAAAGCTCTGTATGACTGAAAATGTACAAAAAGATTTAAAGTTAACTTAGGAAGACATTCAAGGGCTATAAACTGGTGATGTAACATAGGACCTTGAGACAAAGGTCAATGTCACACTGAAGGTCGTAAATCATCACAAATTTTAAATCCATTATAACTTGGTAAACGCTTCCCCTCCATGCAAAATATCAGTGTTACATGACAGACTAAGCTCTTGTTACATTATGGATAATTTTAAGGCAAAATCAAGTTCATCCTCAAGTAGGCGCACAGTAAAACACAGAATCAGGTAAACATGCAAACATTGGGCAACTATGTCCCTCTACTGGGGGCTCTCTAGTTTTTAGGTTGTTTGCATAAAAGTCAGGGTGAAGAGGTGCACAAAGTATGGTATGTTACGTAAAAATGTCCCAAAATTCCTTTCTATTGTTTGAAATACTTGCGCAGATGTCAGGAAATATTTGTTAATTCATTACATGAACAACTCCGAGCAATTTCTGGCTATCTGTTGAGTTTGTACTCACTGTGGGCTCACTTTTCTCTGCAGTATATGTTCCTGCACCTCTTAAAAATGTCTGTTATAATGATATAAATCATTAAAAGAAATAAGAAGTCATTTTTTGGATTATGTTTTTCTGACAAAAATTAGACACATTGGACTCAACATGTACAACATTTTCCAAGTTCCCACAAGTGTTACCAATACTGGAAAACATGGTTCTCTACATACTGTGGAGTAGTTTACAACCTACAGTTTTATTTTGCATCCATACTTACAGTATCTGCTTTAAACACCGCCTGCACACATGATCAATTTGCAGTGCAGAATTTTAGTTGTTTTTTAAAATCTTTTTTATAGAACCTAGTTCATCTGAAGTTGTTTGTTTTTTTTGCACAATTTTAGACACGTAAAATAAAGTGATTTTAATCAAAATATCACGATGTCAACCTTTTTGAAGAATTTGTTGTTGGTACGTCAAAGATGAATAGCTCCTTCAGAAAGTTGAAAATCCCACCATTCTTTCTGTTTTTGCAGTTTCTTACTTTGACAAATGGTGTAATTTTGGTGATTTTCTTGCCATTCAAACCTGCCAGTGGGTTTTTGGGTTCAGAGGGTTAAATACTGTAATATTCTCTGCAGAGGTTTTTAATGGAAATGATGCTGAAATAATTTAACGCACGTTTCATGTTCATCTTTTACATTTCTTGCTACAAAATGCATAAAATATGACAAATTAAACTCCAAGGAACATTTTGTGCATTAAATACATTCTTAGCTGCCTTGAAGTACGAAACACTGTTCCTTGAAGTTGGACATGGTTGGTGAAGCTTTTTTGCTCTCATTAAACACCAAGTTTGAAGAGAGTTTTAAAATTACATGTGTTCTCACATTAACTTTAAATGTTCCCAGTGTTACATTAGATTCTGTGATTTAATTCTTGATACGATTCTAAGCTGTGATGCTGCTGCAAACTACACACACTCTGTCTTAATATCGTTCAGTGTCACATATATTAAAGGCTCTGATTTTGCTTCATCAATGTTTGTGGTACTAAAGATTTAGCTGCTTGGACACATTAGAAATTCAACTAGGTATTATCAGGTGAGGTGTTACTGATCAGGTTATAAAACATATACTCTACTCTTTCTGCTAACACAGCTATCAAAAGAACAGTTTAGGACAACATCTGCTGAATTATTACGATATTTACAGTCGTGATGAAGCTGAAATTCCTACTTGGCCATAGAATTTGGGGTAACCCCTGTTACAAACCCAAATACAATGACAATATTAAGTATTCCGTCTCTTCTTATTACTATTTTACTATTGAGAATAAACACCTGAAATGTGTTTTTCAGGCCTCGGAGCTGGTTTCCTTCATCCAGAGTCAGAAGGACCTTGGATGTCAGGCCTCCCAGGTTGTCCATCTGCAGGAGGGATTGAACTCTGACAGTAGTGTGGCTGCAGACTTCTGGAGTCTTCTGGGAGGAAGAACGCAGTACAGAGGTCAGAGGTCAAACTTTGTATTTAAATTCAATAAAACCGTAGTTATAATTCCCCAGTAAGCACCAACCTTGATTTCTGATTTGTTTTGCCTTCTTTTCAACCAGCTGAAATCTCATTATAGCATCAACAAGCCACAAAATACAACTTAGTTTAATCAGTATGATAATTTGTTTAGTTGTAGGCTGAAAGAGCGACAACATTGATTAGTATGAAGGGATCTGTCCACGGAGATGTAATATAAATGTATCTGCATGGAGCAAACAGTCGGCAAAGAGTGATGACTTAAACAAAGCCCATAAAAACTGGTGTATGTGTGCACCCTTGCTTCTGGAAAAAAATTAAAATGAGGAACAATGTAATATGGTAAAAGTTGTGAAAATGGATTTAATAGTATTTTTAGATTTGGGTTCAAATACAGTAAAACAATGTAATTTTACGATATTAACATTTGTAAAAATACAGATTTTTGATGTTGATGTTATTTAAAGTTTTAGTCTTTTTTTAAAATTATTATTATTATTATTATTTTTTAAGGGTTAGTTTGTAAAGTAACCCTTGTGTGACTATATTGGATATTATCTGGAATGTAACCAAACAGCAAGTCTGTAAAATAACTGAAGAAGAAAATACAGTTTTTTTTAATCCCTATATACATTTTTTTTATTTTAATTTTTTTTGTTGTAAATAATAATTTTCTATGATACAGTAAGACATAGTGTAATTTTAGGGTCGAACCATTTTTAAAAATACATGCTTCTGATGTGGATGTTATTTGCAATTTTGGCCTGTTTTTTAAATTTAACAGGTAAAGTTATATTTTTTTCTGTAATTTTAATAGATATTGTCTGTAACTTAGCAAAACTAGGAAAATCTGTACAATAACTGTAAATTCTACAAAAACATACAGTTAATGAAATTATGTTTTTTTAATTTCTTTCTTCTTCTTTTTTTTTTTTTTTTACATACAATTTCTTCAGTGCATGTTTTTATCTTTTTCTTTGCACAGGAGCCGGTGCACCAGAAGAGGATGAGCTCTATGAGAGCGGTGTGGTGGAGTCTAACTGTGTTTACCAGCTGGTGGAGAACCGACTGGTGCCTCATGAACAGGGCTGGGCCTCCCTCCCCAGCGTCTCCCTGCTGGGCTCCTCTGAGGTCAGCTTCATCATTTTATATGTAGATACTTGACTATGTCTCAAATGAGGGCTTACATCTGTGCATATTGTAGAGTGAAACCCTGACAGGGTTTTAACAGCTCATCACAGCTTGTTATACTGTCGGTGTGTGTTTGTGTGTGTGTGTGTGTGTGCGTGTGTGTGTGTGTGTGTGTGTGTGTCCAGGCGCTGGTGTTTGATTTCGGCAGTGAGGTGTATCTGTGGCTTGGACAGGAAGTTTCCCTCGGGAGGAGGAACGTTGCTCTGCAGCTGACTCACCAAGTGTGGGCTGGAGCTTATGACTACAGCAACTGTCGAGTCAACCCACTGGATCCCACTCAGAGCAACCCCAGCATTCAGCTGTGAGTCCACGCTGCAGCCAGCTGCAAACTACAGCCTGTGCTTCACAATGGAAAATAACTGCATCTACTACATATTATACCACATAACATAAACAAACAAGAGCAGTCGCCCACCATGTGTACTGAGGATTGTGTTGAGGATTCAGTCATTGATTGTGAGCACAACACTCAGTAAAGCTCCTGCATACAACATTAAGGTTACTGACAGTGCAGTACAAGAACAAACATCCACTGTAGGTCTTCATTGTGCAAGCTGTCTGTAATTCCACACATGAGGAAACCCCAGCAGACAGAAGTGAGTCCATGTGACATGCTGTAAAATCCCTGCTATGAGTAGAGACGACACACTGACATGCTGCAGCTGCAACAGAACAGTTGTTACAGAAACAAGTACCCCCTTCAATGTGCTATACTCCAAAGCTGACAGCGTGTGGACGTCCAAACGTTACATTAAGGTGTGCTTGCTGAACACCTCATTCTAAAACCATCTGCATTAATCTGCTGTTATCACAGTCTCCACTTTTCTAGGAGTCATTTCCACCTGATTTTTTTAAACCTGATTCATGAGATCAGACACTGAAGTTTTTCTGCATGAAACTGGGAAAACCTTTTCTCTGTGGACTTGTCTTTGTGCAGGCAGTAAGGATTGTTGGTTCACACTATTGTCTAAAATATGATAGTATGCTGTAGCTTTAATAGTTCCTTTAATTAGAAGTAAGAGGATTTTTTAAAAACTGTACAAAACAAACATATGTGGACTGTTCACATGCGTTACAGGGGACACCCTGGACAGGTCACCAGTCTATCACAGGGCTACACTTAGAGACAGACAACCAAGCACACTCACATTCACACCTACGGACAATTTAGAATCACCAATTAACCTCAACATGTTTTTGGACTGTGGGAGGAAGCCGGAGAACCCACGCTGCATGGGGAGAACATGCAAACTCCACACAGAAAGAACCCGGGTGTCCTCACTGGGATGCGAACCGGCGACCTTCTTGCTGCGAGGCAACAGTGCTAACCACCGACCCACCTTGCAGCCCTGTTATGAATATTATTTTATTAATTGATATGAATTTATTTAACCCTCTGAACCCCAAACATCATTTTTACTCACTGTGAATACAAAGTCCTGCACCTCTATGGAAACAGCACAACCATGTTTATTAAATGTCTTGTGTGTGGTTTGACACCGTTGTGCCATAAATCAGAAAAATGAAAGTTTAATTACTTCAATTATTCTTTCAGCAAAAAATGGAAAAACTTGGATAAATGTTGTACATGTTGATTCCAAGTGCCCACAGCTGTGATCAATAGTAAAACAAAAAAGTGGCTCTACAGACTGTAGAATTTATACAGATTATTTGTTGAATTTGTTTCCATACTTATCTCCTCACTGTTTAGTACAAACACAGCCTGCAGTTTAGCTGAAAATGACCTGATATATATGTCATTTTTTTCACGTAATGCTTGTGCCAAGAAGCGCAGATTTTAATTGTTTGTTTTTGAGCTAACTGTCAAATGAGTCATGTGTGAAACATCAAGGTTTTTGGCTCAGATTCCATTCATTTTCCCAACTGAACGCACATAAAATAATTCACGCCTGCTGAAAAGTCCCTGAATGTTTGCCAAGTGACTGTTGCTCAGCGTTGACTCACTAATAATTTCAGAGTTACACCGAGGTATGCAGATTTATTTGTTTTTGGACAGAATCTGGTTGGAGATAATGATTTATTTTTGCCAATTTTTAAAACTGAGCCATGTAGACTAAAAAAAATTTGATGAAATATCACAATTTAAAGCTTAGATTTAGTTCTTATTTCCAGCAAGAAGTATAAAATCTAATCCTAACCCTTTGATAAAAGGTACAATTATGGTAATTTTATTTTTTAAAAGATGCCCTTCAAACCTATGAGCTGGGTTGATCTTCTTCGATATATATTTCCTGCATGTTATTATACCTCCTCAGAATGTGTTTTCTGCAAAGCTAGCGAGTCTGGACTATATGACAGATGCTATTTTCAGTTTCAGATACAGCTGGTTTATTGATTGTGCTCATGCTTATTTTTGGTTTTCTGATGTCATGCTGTCTTCAGGAGGGGAGAAGGCCGACCCGGCTGGGCTCTGTTCGGCGTCCTCTCTGAGGGAACCGAGACGATCCTGTTCAGGGAGAAGTTTCTGGACTGGACCTGCAGGAGTGGAGGCAGCGAGGAGGCTGATCCAGTGAAGGAGGAGACACAGGTTCGTGTCATAGTTCACTGATTCAGAGGCACAATAATCACACAGCCAAACCAGTGTCTTCACAGTTATTACAGTATTTGTGAATTTAAATAATGAATCCGGTTCAGTCAGTGTTGAAGTAATTACTTTTTGTCCAAGGCTCAAACATATAGAGCAAAATGTTACAGCTTCAAAGACAAACTCCATCTCAAAAAGCCAAATTATTGATATTGTTGCACTTCTTAGGTTTGCAGTGCACAATAATATATTGATAACTTGTATTTTAGAGCTGCTGCTCCACAGAAAGATCTCACTCCTGACAAAATCCTCTCTGTCCTAATTATGCCGTTTTGCTTCCACTTCCAAGCTGCAAACAGAGGAAACAGCTGACTATCTAATGTGTATATTATTCCAGCAGGGGGAGGTTAAGCTACATTTAGCTGCTTTACAATTTGCTAAGTGCATTATGGTTTGTTTTCTTTATTATGTTTTGTATGTAAACTCAAATCTCTAAAGTAACTTTTGTAAATGGACTCCAGTTATATACCACTTCTGAGGCTGTCAGGAGCAATTTAGGGTTCAATGCTTTGCTACAGGATCAAGTAAAGGAGTAGAAAGAACAATGTTTGTATCAGATATGTATTGAAATGGAAAAATAAAGTACCAGAAAATGGAAATACTCAAGTGAAGCATGTAAAACTAGATACAGATACGCAGAAAAAATATAAATGCGGAAAACTGAAGTTCCAAAGCTGTATCAGATCAGTTGAAGTTGTGACTTTTTCTTTCGTAATTTTTACCAAACTGAAATCCTCCTCTCTTTCGGTTTCTGCTGTTACTTTCCACAGTCCATCTCCGTTACGTCATCTCAGCCTGAGTCTCCTCCATTGGACTTCCTGAGTCCCTGCGACACTAAAACTCTGGTGTCGGGTCAGCCATCGGAGGGAGACGGTTCGGTCCACACGGTGCTGGCTGGAGTCGATGTCCAGAGAGGTCACGGCGTCATCACGCTGGAGGAAGGACGTCAGATGGAGCTGAAGACCATGGCAGTGGACACTTGGCACGTCCAGGAGTTCGACGACAGTGAAATCCCAGTGGAGAGCAGCGGACAGCTTCACGAAGGAGACTCCTACGTCATCCGCTGGACGTACAGCATCAACACTGTCGGTCAGTCAGTTTTTACCTTTCATCACCTGTGATATCTGATGCTGGAGAAGCCTGTTCTGTGCTTTGTAGTCTGATTTGGACAGAAGCATCTGTTATTGAACTCTGATTGATGAAGCTTTTTCCTCTGACCAGTGGTTTGAAAGGCATCGTATCTTTAAAAAACCCACCAAAATTTCACAATTTTTCAGGGCCAGATACTGTGAAAACAAAAAGAAATGTTGGCTTTCATATTTCATATTTTATCAAAATCACTTGCATAATGATTTCTGACATCACAACTGCCAAAAAAGACATTTCTGAATTCTCTTTCCTTCATGGTTGTGCTGTTTTCATAGAGGTGCAGGACTTTATATTGCAGTGAAAAATGTGCCAACAGTGAATAAAATTGTTGCAGAAGCAAAAAAAAAAAGAAGCCCAGAAATTAGAATTAGAGGTTTAATGAATATTCGTTTTTGCTCTGTTGTAGAAAACATAAACAGCCCAGATGAATGTGTGAAGAGTCCAAAGGAAAACATTGCCTTCTTCCTATGGAGAGGTCGACACTCCAACGCCAGTGGACGAGACACTGCTGCTTTCCTGTCGATAGGGATGAACAACCATGAAGAGTCACAGGTACGTGTACGGCCATCAGAATAGATCACGTACTCGTATACATGTATGACTACGACGTTAAGTGGAAACACTGTGAGGAGTAGTTTCCCTCAAATAGAGTATTGAAGTACTTTCTTACATAAGACTTGATGCTTTTACTTCTCTACATGTCTGATGGAGACCTTAAAGCACCGGTAGCTACATACAGAATTCTGACTTTCTGTTGGAGTAGTTATTGTTTTAAAGGTTTATTCTCATCAAATAGCACTTTCTAATAAATAAATTATGGTTTTGAAGATTTATTTTACCCAAAATAGTACTTTCTGTTCAAGTACTTAGAGCTTTAAAGATTATTTCCACCCAAATAGTACTTTTTAACCAACAAATTTGGTTTTAAAGGTTTATTCCACCCAAAATACTCCTTTCTATCCAAGTACTTAAAGTTTTAAAGATTCATTCCCATCAAATAATACTTGTTAAGGAAGTTATGGTTTCAAAGGTTTATTTTACCCAAACTACTACTTTCTTTTTAAGTACTTATAGTTTTAAAGGGCTATACCCCCAAAATAGTACTTTCTATCCAACAACTTATAGGTTTAAGGGTTTATTTCACCCAAAAAACAGATGATCACCATGTCATCTGGCTCTCAGTTTTTCTGACCCAGAAGTCGTACTAAAAGTAACATATTTATCAGGACCGTTGTTGTTTACAGGCACTATGTTTGTTGTGTTGTTTCTGAAGGTGGTTGTGCCTCAGGGAAAGGAGCCCCCCTGTTTCCTGCAGCTCTTCCAGGGAGGCCTGGTCATTCACAAGGGGAAGCGGGAGGAAGCTTCCACTAATGCAGGTGCAGTAAAATCAGACAGTTTTTCCCTCTTCGCTGTTATAGTTCTTTTTCGTGTTTGTTAAACTGGTGTGTCCTTTGTGTGTTTCCTGCAGCAGAATGGCGTCTGTTCTGTGTGCGAGGGGAACTTCCAGAGGAGGGTTTGCTGTTAGAGGTGGACTGCTGCTGTACAGGTCTGAGGTCGAGGGGCTCCGCTGTCCTGCTGAACAGCCAGCAGGGGGTGCTGTATATCTGGATGGGCTGTAAATCCCACAGCAGCATCAGAGAAGTCAGCAAGAGGACGGTGGAGCGTCTCACTCAGATGTGAGTCACACATTCTGGCTGGACTGTAGCATTGTTTTTGTAGTGTGTTAGTTTAATACTGTTTATTTGGGTGTGTTAGGTGTCCTCCAGAGCTGGGTCTCAGCAAAAGCAGCCCAGTGACGGTGCAGGTTGTGGAGGAAGGTTCAGAGCCTGCAGACTTCTGGACAGCACTGGGACACATGGACAGGAAGGCCTACGACTGCATGCTGCAAGGTGCGACACGACGCACACTTTGGTTTTGATCTACAGCTCTGTAAGTCTTCAAATCATGCTAAGAAGCTACGTTTTTTTTTGGCCTTACAGATCCAGGAAAGTACAACTTCACACCCCGTCTCTTCCACCTGAGCGCCTCTTCTGGGAGTTTCAAGGCCGAAGAGCTCAAGAGTCCAACACGACTGCCAGGACTCGTGATGGCGATGCCCTTCGTTCAGGAGAGCCTGTTCTCTGTACCAGAGCCAGGTGAAGACAGATACAAAAACTATTCCTGTTTCTCTTTTTGAAATTCCAATTTTCAGTTCCTCACATTTGTCCCTTTGTTGTTATATTTCCAAACCTTGTGTGTTTTCAGCTCAATAGGTCGTTCCATAAAAACAATGTTATCAACTAATACAAGTTCAGAATTTGTTAACCGTCTAAATGGCTGCTCATGGTAGCCTTAGATTGACCAATTCAGATATGAGAATCTTCTGATTTTAATCCCAAAATGTTAAACTACCCCTTTAATGTGACTTCTTGGAAAGTCTACGTGCCCACTGATACCATTCGGCCTTTCTAAATCTAAAACTAAAATATGCTTTTTACCATTTTAGACACCTGCAAATATGTAGAACATAGTCTTTTATTTTGCACCTCCGACATTTTTCTCACTGTGGGCTCATGTTTTACTGAAACTAAACAAGCATGAATAGCAGTGGAGAGATCTACAAGTGTATTTTGTGCCTTTCTTTGATGCTGAAAATTTGCTGTGAATAATGAATCGATATTAAGCCTGGAGGGATATGACTTGCCTTTAAAAAAGCAGTTTAAAAAATAATTCTTAGCGTAAGTTCCAGCATAAGCACTGCAAATCATGTAGCGCTTTCTCTACATCATCGTCGCTTTCCTCAGGAAACTGGAGTTTGCTCAGTTGTCATGGAGATGCAATTTTCACTTTCACTAAACTTTATTTGGCATGGCTCCACTCCAGAATTATTAACAAGATTAGGCAAAGCTACTAATAAAAAATGATCAAAACTGGATTTTAGTGAAGTTAAAGTTACCACCATAGCATCAGAAAACTCTTGGTTGTTTTCTCTGCATAAACCATATTTATTCAGCTTCATTTTACCCCTGCAGTATCGCTATGCCCCCCAGTTTGACAACCACAGTTTTATCACATAAATCAAGTATGAAATCCAAATAAATAGGATATTAAATGTTTGCATACTTTCCAGTCAACTAAGCTTACTCATCTACATCCAACTTTTTCTTTGCTTTATCTGTTTTTTTTTTTCATTGCCTCCAAAACCCAAACGTCCCACAGGATTATTAAAGTCAAACATAATCCAATCTAATTCCACTTTATTGTCCAATTTTCCCTCTCTGTGCCGTCTGCCTGCAGCCCTGTTCCTGCTCGACAACCGTCTGGAGGTCTACTTGTGGCAGAGAGGTCAGCCGGAGCAAACGGAGAGCTCGGCTTCAGCCTGGAGCCTCTGGCATGATGAGAGGAAGTGTGCCATGCAGACGGCACTGCAGTACTGCAAAGGTGAGGAGGCAGAATGGTCATCGTTAACTAACTGGAAATGAAGGAATCGCAGTTTAAAAATGTGCTGTTTTTGCTTGTGTATCGCAGAGATGAACCCGAGAAGACCCCCGCAGGCCTACCTCATCTTTGAGGGGTCTGAACCTCTCACCTTCACTAATGTGTTCCCCCGCTGGGAGAGAAGCCTGGGACCCCAAACACAGGTATGAACACGTGGAGCTGCACCATCAGTTTATCAAATGATGAGGTCAGTTGTTGAGTAGCAATAGGTATCTGTACATGGGAGAGGTGTGTGATTCAGAGCTTCATATTGTTAGACAGGGACTATAAATGGATTCACCCCCTCTTGGAAATTTTCCTCTTTTATTGCTTTTCAACATTAAATCATGGTCAGCTTAATGAGAATTTACAAAAAACATTCTTCCATTTCAAAGTACAGATTTCTACAAAGTGATGTTAATTATTTCAGCATAAAACATCAAATAGGTGAGTTCATAAGTATTCACCTCCTTTAAAGTGACTATTTCAGCTCAGGTGCAGCCAGTTGGTGCTAAAAGTCACACATGTGAGTGTAGTGATGTAGTATAAAGACACCTGTGTCTGGAAGGTCCACACACTGATGAATCAGTGCTCCTGGATAGAACTGTGTCGTGAAGACAACAGAACATCAAGAAACTTGGAAAAAGTTTTTTTTTAATTTGTAGTATTCAGTGAAATTATCATTAAGAAACAGAACAAATATGGTACTGTGACGGTTCGTGCTCTGTGACTGTGTGGGTGGACCCAAACAAAAAGGGAGACGGGGAGAAGGGTTAAAGGAAACAGAATTTATTACGGAAGGTGGTGGAGTGATGGGCACCAGGAAGCAGGAACAAAGTCCAGTGAAGGGTTGCCGGTCGTGGGGAATAACCTGGTGGTGGGATCTGGTGCAGGGATGTCAATCGTGGAGAGGGAGGAGTGGAGTCTTCGGTGTCGTGATCCGAGGAAGGGGGGTCCCGAGGGTGGTGCACGAAGAGCCGGTGCCTGAGAGTGCCTTGGTCCGTGGGGTTTTTCCCGGTGCAGAGAGGGAACCGTGACGAGGGAAACTGGGGTGGTGCGCAGGGGTCCGGTGCTCGTGGGGGGTGCTCTCGTGAAGGGTCTCCCGGTGAAGGTGTTTGTGAATTCCCGTGGGTGACAAATGCTGGAGTGCTTGGAGGTGTGCCGAGTGCTGGAGCCGAGGAGGAGAACTGGAAACAGGCAGAGAAACACATACAATAAACTTGAAGCTAGAGAACATCAAGATTGCTAGGAATGCTCCGCACGGTGTAGCAGGTAGAGGCCTGACTGTACCCCGAGGTAGGTATCACAATCCTCTGGCGTCGGTCTTCTGTGAGACGCCAGTATTTAAGCCAGGCACAGCTGATGAGCCACAGCTGCCAGGGTGTGCGTGTCTCTCCTGATCGGCTCCGCCCAGCCTGCAGAGAGCAGAGACACACCCACCAAAACACAGAGACAGACAAAATCCCAAAAACACAGTGAACCCAGTCTATGACCCTCACAGTACCCCCGGGAGCCGGCGACGGCGGAGCCCCTCTGCAGGCCGGCCTCGGGCCGGGAGAGCCGGCGACGGCGGGGGGGAGCCCCTC